AATTTCAGCTTGGTATGCCCCTTTCAGCTTGTATCTACTAGTTTCAGCTTTTTCTGCTATTTCAGCTAGTGTTTAGCTGTTTTGTGCTAAATTTAGCATTTTCAACTAATTCCACAATTTTTTTAGCTCATTTCAGCTCCTTTTACTTCTTTCTGGTAATTTAAGCTGTATGCCATTTCAGGTTTTTTTTTGTTGTTGTTGTTGCTAATTTCAGCTTTTTAAGCTAATTTCCTAATTTTTGTGCTACTTTCTACTTGTTTAAACCTAATTCAGCAAATGTGTGTTCTTTCTGCTTTATTCTGTTAATTTAGGCTTGCCCTTCCATTTCAGCTTTATTTTAGTATGTTTTTTTCTTTGCTAATTTTAGCTGTTTTTCAGCAAGTTCTTCAAAATAAGTATTCACACTGAATTTTTGCAGGAAATGCAGTTTCTCTATATTAACTATCAAGTTATCAGAGATATCCTGCAACAAGGAACAAAAACACTGAAAATACAGTAAATACTATGAAGCTGTGACGCGGCACATTTAACTCACAGTAAAATTTACTATTGTTAAAAATCATATCAGTGCATATAAACCTACTAGTAAATGCTGACGTTTTGCAATTTAAGCATAAATGTGTAACAATTTTGAATCTTTTTGATTAATCTTTCCAATGAACTATTTTGAACAAGACATCTGCAATCAAGTGTCGAGATCTGGGATTCAAAGATGTGTTCACATTCAGGGCGCTGGGAGGAGCTAAAATAATTGGAAAATAGCTGAACCTTTTACAGACGTGCACTAACGTGATCATTTTTAAAAAGGGATTTTTCTGACACTTTGTTTTTCATAACTCGCTGGGCGAGTGTTAGAACTATAAGACAAGCAACATCACAAATATGAGATTATGATCAGAAAAGTTTATGTAAGTTTGTTCACCTGATGTGTTCTTTTTTTATTAGTTCCTCTAAGATGTAAGGAAAAATCTATTAAGTTTATTTACAACTCCTGTGAATGTGATGCAATCAAACTCAAAATGTTCTTCTTTTTTCCATAAAAACATAAACGTAAACAACATTTTGGAGAAAGGACAAAATTTTGAAATTTTATTGGAGAAGGTGTTCTAAATTGTAAACATTAAATGCTTCATAAACATTAGCCTTTTATTAATTTATTTTTTAACTTTAGTTTATTTGACTTTATTGATTTATTGCCAAAGGATTGCATTAAATTAATACTGCTCATTTTGAGATGTTTTTATTTAATCTGTTTTGCTGTTAAACCTAAAAATTATATTTAAAAATTATCCATATTAAACTTGCAAAACATTTACATCTGCATCAATCTCTATAGTCTACGAGCCAAATTTACGCCATGCTTAAACTACAAATGTGGGCCACACAATATCACTCCAAGGGCCATAAATGGCCCCCGGGCCGCACTTTGGATGTTGAGAGGTCGTTGCATTCTGTCTTTTTATTTATTTCTAAGTATTTACAACTTTGTCTAAATTGGTGTGGAGTGGATTCACAACAAAAGTCATTGTAGTGCACTAAACAAAAGAAAAACAAGTTCAAATTATAAATTTCATTTTGGTCCATATTTACAGTCAATTCATCTTTTACTGCAACACAATTCATTCACATTAGAAAATGTCAGATAGTAAAATTATCTGTCGTAAGCCAAAAGATTGCGTTGAGGAACAACTCGCTTCTAAAAGGAAGAAGGCTCCAGCAGAACCAGAACCAGGATGGACGCCCATCTGCCTGAACTGGCTTAGAGGACAAGAAAGACATGAAGACAAACACAGAAGCCTTTCTATAGGAAGAAATGCAAGCTGGATGTGCATATTGAAGGAAAAGAAGGGGCGAAAGGGCAAAAAGGTTGGGGTGACGTAAAATAAAAAAGATGTAAAAAGACAGAGGGAGAGGCCAAAGTGATTTAAGACGACAAGGTTAAAGGAGGAGCTCTGCAGAAAAAGAGACAAAACGAAAAGAGGAGTGGAGGATAAGTGGAAAATGAGATTAATGATAAAGGGTGGAGAAGTCTCAGATTAATTATAAAAGGAAAAGCCAGCGGGGCGTACACGAGAGGGAGAGAATGGGAGAAAAAAAAAAAAACCCTAAGGAGAGTTGAAAAAGACCAAAAATTATCTGGGTAACATTAAATATTAAAAAATACTCTCATCAGTCTTGAAAAAAAAAAGGTAGTTTGAAAAGTTAAAGCTGTAATGAATGAATCTTAGAATGATGAGGATGAGTTTCCTGCAGCAGAGAGGAGAGGGACACGGGGTGTTGTGTTGCAGACTGGATCAGCTCTGGAGGGTCTCAGGGTTGCACAGAATTCCTAATGAGCAAGGATTTGCTAACAAGAACCTCCAAGAACAGGAACAGTGCAGAGCCCCTGTTGGTTAGACTCATCCATCTTCATCTTCCCTTCTTTATTCCAACTCTGGAGGGGGGGGGGGGGGTCTCACACAGACACCCACGGGCCTTTTTCATGCAGCACGAGCGCAACGGTTCAAGAATAAAAATGTTATAAATGCAAACTGGAGGAAACAGAGAACACATTACCCAACCAAAACCTGATCATGAGAGCCGATATGAGTGCAGGGGCCAGGGGTCCATCCAATAATCGCTCAAATTGAAGGAAATGGATTCTGAAATTACATTTTGCTGCTCGTTTTAAGTCCACGACTGCAGCCTTCCATTCATTTCCTGCGTGACTGGGTCAAGCTTCGCATCAATCAGGTGTCCGATAACTTCATCTTAGCTGTTCCCGACTGTAACGAGCTTAAACAACACGTGTCAGGCGAGAGGAGAGATTAGTTAGCAGCTGAGCAGAAGCCGTCGAGCACTTGAGGAATATATTTTTATGCATTTACAGCGTTATGGGTCAGAACTATTCAGAAATTACATCTGATTTCATCATATTTGAATAACACACTGTACAATGACTGCACGAATTAAAGTCAGCGCACTGCGGGGAGCATTTACAATAATGAGTATAACTGCTGAAAGCTTATAATCATCAAGCTTTTTACGTTTGAATCCTTGCAAAAAGCATAATTATTGTGTTTTTGTGATTTTAAAACTGGGTGTGATGACCCATGAGGTCAAAGTCTGTGTTCTATTGCTGCCATCTACTGGACAAACTTCATATAGCAACAGAAAAAGATTTGTGTGTGGTTTCTGGATCTTCAAATTAGAGGCAGATATGACTAGAACATTCAGTTATGTCCTTTATTTGCGCCCCTGCCCGTAACGTCCGCAGATATCTCTGCTTCTAGTAAATAAAAACACACAAATTTGTCAAAAAAAAAAAAAACTGCAACAAACAGGTGCTTGCTGAAAACTGCAATCAGAGTGAACACGTTAATTATAAACACAAACGAAGCACATAAATAGAGATATAACAGGCGAACACTATAAACGTGCACACAGTTTCAATAAATATACATCTCAAGAAGGATTGTTTAGCATGTGCATGTTAAAACTCCCTGCATTCTTTTCCCCTGCAGGAAAAAGTCACAAATCCTTTCTTTAGCCCTCTATTATATTTAGTCACAAACTCTGCAGTGCCCTCATGTGGTTGTCCATGTGCACTGCAGCACCTTCACCTCTATGACTGTATTTATGACTGCACATTATATCCTATCTATCTATCTATCTATCTATCTATCTATCTATCTATCTATCTATCTATCTATCTATCTATCTATCTATCTATCTATCTATCTATCTATCTGCTTGTTTTCACAAATGAGTTTAATCTGTGTGGCCCAGCATTAACAGTAATCTGTTGTAATCAGCATTAATGACTTGTAATTAGAGCAGCGTCATGACGTCACACGGAGACGTGAGCTCGCTGCGTCAGCCCCAAACGTCCTGACTCCATCATCAGTTGGTTTTTAAGCTGCCTCCAGATGTAATTGGACGTTTGTCTGCTGTGCTTACTTCACGGTCACCGAGTTAGCTCGTAAAACATCATCACTGTGAATATTAAGAATGTTGAGCTTTGTTTTTTTGTTTTTTTTCATGTACAGTTTTTCCTTTATTTTTTTTTAATAGTTCGACTTATTATTTTACTCTTCACCACAAATAAGTTTTATTTTGTTTTGTTTTATTTATCATTTTATTTCATTTTTTTTCCTCATTCTGGCTTTTTATCAGGTGAGAAATAGCCCAAACTTATTTAACACTAACCACAGAAATTATCATTTGGAAGAAAATGCAGTGTAAATGCTGAATGACTTGACTGAATTTAGCTAAAGAAGCTAAAAATGTGTGTAAAATAAGCAGACTAAAAGGCTAAAAGGAGCAGAACGCGAACTAAAAACTGGGGGGGGGGGGGACTAACTACAAGTAAAACAGTAGCTGAAAGCTAAATCGAGCAGAACCCTATAGAGAAAATAAAAAACGGTAAGTAGAAAAACATACGCTTAATTAAAATTAATGAAAATGGTAAGGCTAAAAAAACTAAAAAAAAAAAGATATTAAAATTAGCACAAAGGTAGCTGAAAGTAGTCAAACATATGCTAAAGCCAAATTAACAAAACAGGAGCTATTATTACCAAGCTGTAGCTAAAGGTAGAAAAGGGGATGTTGAAGGTCAAAATCAGCAAAACAGTAGCAAAAGTTTAAAGAATTAAGACTAAAAGTATCAAAATAGAAGCTAAAAGCTAAACTAGCATAGACGACAGAAATAGAGAAAGTCTCATGAATCAGTTAATAAAATAAATAGAAATCCTTTATATATTTTAGAAAAATTGAAGAGATCTCAATTTATTTCTACAGAATTTAATTTTAAATATTTTGTGTATGAAAGTTACAAAAAACACAAAATAAATCATAACAACTCCCCAACCCAGGAGGATATTTTCATATATTAATAGTTAAAATAGTGCAATTGTTGTTTTATTATTTCTTTATTTGGGGAACTTTAGTATAAAAACTCCACAAAGCAGGCAACGTCGCAAACTGAGTTCCGAGAGCTGATATTTCCAGAGTGCACGTGAAGGCATCAGTGTGCCGCAGCGGACAACAGACAACAATGTCAAAGAAGAGGACAAGCAGCGTCCCTGTCCACGCTGAGTGACTGGTCATGGCGGGTCGGTGGGGTCACAGTCCTCGCCCCAGCTCCAGGGAGGATGCCGGCCCGCAAACAGCCGCGGAGCTCCCGCAACAAGACAGCGGGGCCGCGGCGGAGCCTCTGCGGGACCTGCCGCGGTGGATGCGGCTCTACCTCTACGGGATGCACGGGGTCACTCTGGATGTCCTGCTCTCGTCGCTGCGGGGGCTTTTCCACAACAAGGACCCCAAGCTGCTGGGCTTTTCCTCCCCGTACCTGTGCGTCATGCACGCGCTCACCCACTTCGCGCTGGAGAAGATCTACACCCAGAAGCGGTGCTTCCGAGCCCGGCCCGTGGTGTTCCACTTCGTCTTCTACCCCTCCGTGTACATCGGGCTGCAGATCCTGATCGGGAACGTGCACATGACGGAGCAGGTGCGCGTGGTGTCCGGGACGCAGCTGGCGGTGCACTACATCCTGGCTCTGTACTTCTCTCAGGTCTTCCACCGAGTTCTGACCCACCTGCAGTACCACCCCTCCTCCACCGCGGACACCCTCTGGAGACGCATCCAGAGCGGCGCGCGCCCCCGCGGGCTCCCCGGCTTTGCGCGCTTCCTCTTCTTCGGGATGCACGGCTTCCTGGACGAGGTGCTCTTCACCTCCTTCTTCAACCTGGTGGAGAAGTCCGACCGGACCCTGGGGGGCCACACGTCCCTGTGGTCCTTCCTGATGTACGGCAGCTGCAGCTTCGCGGTGGAGAAGCTCTACTTCCAGCTGCGCTTCAGCCGCGGCTGGGGCACCCTGCGCAGACTCCCCATCTACATCTGCTTCGCGTACGCGTGGGAGTTCACGTGGGGCCTGGTCCTCAGGCAGTTCGGGGCTTGCTCGTGGGACTACTCCCACTACCCGCACCACTTCATGGGACTGGTGACGCTGCTGTACCTGCCCGGCTGGCTGTGCCTGAGTCTGTACCAGGACGTGCTGTCCGACGTCCTGCTCAGAGTCCGGTGCACCCATGGAAGGAGTCTGGGTGGAGGCCACGAGGAGCTCAATGGACAGGTGCACCTCCACAAGAAGACTCTTTAACGCTGGGGCGCACGCGCATTTCTTACATATCAGAATATTTATTATTATTCTCCTTTTATGGAGGAAAATCAAGACATTTTTATGGTTTGGCACCAAAGGCGAAGCGTGGATCGGGGTTTTTGTTTGTTTGTCTGTTAGCAAAATATCTTGGGACTCGCCGATCGGATTGTAATTAAATCTAACTAAAGTTATCACCAAATGTCCATGTACAACTATTTAATTTTTGGAGTTAGCCTGATTCAAGATGGCCGCCGCAGCCAACTAACCTTAGGGAACACGAAAATTACTACAACTCAGACAGCTTTAGAGATGTTGAGCTAAAATGTGTTGTTATTACCTGAGACTGACCCCCAGCTTATAATCTGAGCGCTGACTCATGAGGTTGATCCACACTTAAAATGTTTCCATTAAAACTATGGGAGACAATGCGTCTGTCTGTTAGCAAAATATCTCTCGAACCACTGGACAGATTCTAATGAAACTCTCAGAAAGTAGTCACTAAGCCTACATCTGGAGCTGGTTAACTTTTGGAGTCTGACAGTTTAGGACAGACGCTACAACCGACGGCTTAAACACAAAAATGCCCATATCTCCCTCAGTTCTGCAAATATTAAGCTGGAATTTGGTGCAGAAGTAGATCAATATTGACATGATGGGAGATATTGCATGAGACTGAGCAGAACCAAAATGGCTACTATTGTTTCTTGACCTAAAATGATAAGTCTGGCATGAAAGGTGGCGGGCGATATGCATTCCTCTAATGGTCGGCCTTTGATGTGTTTTAGACTTTCAGCAAGTTGTTCGCTCTTATTGATTGTCTGATCTGATTGTTATTCTCTAAACCTGCTGTCATTTTTAGCTCACGTAAAATAATTTGACACCTTTACGATCTTATTTTATCAAATTATTTATTTCACCATTTTATTACCATACACATTTTATCTCACTGTGGCAGGTCTGACTGAACTGTGATCAAAAACTAGTCTCTCCACAAAACTGCCACTTTAATACTCTGGTCATTATTTTCAAGACATTCGTTTTGTAATCTAATCCTGCTTTTAATGGGGAAAACCTCTTTAATTTCCCTCAGGTGTTTATTGATGTCCCAGTGTAATTAGAGAAAAGTTCAAATGTAGCAATGAAAACCTTTATAGCAGAATTGATCTTCGGAAGGGAGGTTTTACTGTGAATATTTTATGACGTTGCAGGAGTGCCTTCCTGTGCAAACAGAACTAAAGCTGCACATCACAGTCAGAGTCATAAGAGATGAATGATGCTATTACCGTATTTTTCGGACTATAAGGCAATATCAGTGAACAGGTCTGTTTTCATACAAGGCGCACCTCCCGCTTCGAATGTTATCAGCCATTAAAGTGCCTGTGACGTCAACATTTTGTAATAAATACAAATGCATTTTTGGAAAGATAACATTAATAACATATTGCAAAATAAATTTCAAGCTGCTATGATGCACAGTTGTTGAGATATTTGCATGCACAATAACAGGAAGTGATGTCAAAGGGGATATGCCTGCATGTGAACAGATCATTGCTACAATGGCTAACACAGACAGCAGAGGAGAATCTGACATTTAGATTATTTAGAGTTACTATCAGAGATGAAGAAGAGTCAGGATTTAGATATTGTTTCAATGAAGAAAAGCCAGGAAGTTCCCCTTTTTAAAAAGTTCTCCTTTGATGTCACTTCCTGTTTCACTTTGGCTGCACCAAGTTTAAAGGAAAAGGTGCCAGTTATGTGACAAAATGAATAATATTATGTGTATTTAGCCAAAAATTCTTAAATATTAAAATGTTTTCTTCCATTTTTGTATTTGTAAGATGTGTTTGTCACTGTCACTATAAATGGCCATTACTAGTTGTTATCATCCCCATATGTAGCGGTCAGACTGCCCCTCCAGTACCTCCTAGTGGGTTTAAAGGTACGTTGTTAGCGTTGTTAGTGATGATAATAGGCTACATTGTTAGCGCTCATGATAGGCTTAGGTTCAGAGTAAAGGGTCTGGGGGTTTGGTTTGGGGTCTTGGTTAAGTTTAGGCACAAGGGTAAAAGGGTTAAGTTTAGGGTTGGTACTCTGGGTCAGGTGTAAGGTTAGGTTTAGGAAAAGGGTTACATAAGCTGAAGAACATAAATAAAAATAAACACTTCCTGGTTTACCCCCAGGGCTGTGTTCTAAGTCCCTGTGCAACGCTACCTATTATCAGCCATAATAACGTACCTTAAAACCTACTGGGAGGTAGACGGGATAGTCTGACCACTACATATGGGGATGATAACAACTAATAACGACCATTTAATGGACTGATAACATCCAAAGCCGCTGGCGCACCGGATTATAAGGCTCATTAAGCGAAACTTTATTCAACTCATTCGCAATAACTGTCAACATTGTTCAGTTGTACCACATAAAATCTGTTCAAGGTCAGTAAGCACAACCGGAATTAATACAAAAGGCGCACTGTTGATTTTTGAGAACATTAAAAGATTTTAAGTACGCCTTATAGCCGAAAAATATGGTAGCCTACTTGAATATAGGATTAAAATTGTATTGTGTGGTTTTTTTTTAATGTGTAATTTAGGCCTGTTCTTGTTTCTGAGGGATACATCAAACTAAGGGAAACTAGCACAGTAAAAAATATTCCATTTCCTTTAGATAACGAGTGAGCCCTAAAGTACGGTTGCGGTGTTGTTTTATGGTTTGTTTTGCACTTGGCAGCTACTCTTGACGTTCTTACTGTAAATGATTTATACATCTTGCACTGCACGAGGAACATGATTTTTGCACATCTTGAACACGCTCCACGGCCGAGTAACTGTATTTAAACCGTACTGAACTTTTTGTTTGTGCACTTTTTTGAAGACCAAACCATTTTAAAGAATGAAATGTTTAAGCACCATGCAACTTAATGTAACCAATAAAATAAGATGACAAACAAAACAATATGTTGCTTGCAGTTTTATTCCAATTTTCTTTTTTATGCCAACATCTGTTTCATATTATTCAAGGACAACAAAATGTCTTTCAATGGCAATACAGAGTCCCTGAACGAACTCAGCAGGTATTTTAGCAGATTCGAGGCACAAAGCAAGGAAACCCCACCACATGACGAGCAGTCCCTGAGCCTCGAAACAGTGGAGTTCTGCAGGACACTGAAAAATATAAACACCATAAAAGCAGCAGAACCCAACAACATACCAGGAAGAGTACTGGAGGAATGTGCAGACCATCTTGCCCCTGTGCTGATGGACGTTTTTAACAACTCCCTGAAGCAAGCCATTGTTCCCTCCTTCAAGGCAGCCACAGTCACACCAGAACTTAAGAAACAAACAATAGCCCTAAATGACTATCGCCCGTGGCTTACGCCCGTCATAATGAAGTACGGCAAACGTCTTGTTACGCAACACATCACCTCTGATCTTACTACCTCCTTTGACCCAGTCCAGTTTGCTTACCGCTCCAACTCGCTCAACAGAGGATGCAATCGCCTCAACACTCCACCTGAGCCTGCAACACCTGGAGGAGAAAAACACCCCATGTATGAATGTTGTTTACAACATCACCTTCAGGAACTGGATCCTTGACGTTCTCTCTGACGGACCACAGTCAGTATGGGTGGGGAAGAACGCCTCCTCTGTTCCCCAGGGCTGTGTTCTAAGTCCGCTTCTCTTTACTCTGATGACCTACGGCTGTGTCGCCAGGTCTGAGACCAACCACATCATCAAGTATGCGGATGATACCACGATAGTGGGCCTGATTGCCAACAACAAGGATCAGGCATATCGGGAATAGGTGGCACACCTTGTGAACTGGTGTGGGGAAAATAACCTGGTTCTGAATGTCAACAAAACAGCTCATTATTGACTACAGGAAAATGGAACATCACGTGTCACTGCTCATAAATAACACAGAGAGCACCAGGTTCCTGGGGGTGCACATAACCTATCAGCTGTCTTGGTCAAGAAGCACTAGGTCCCTAGTGAGGAAAGCCCAGCAGCGTCTGTACTTCTTCCGTAGGCTGAAGAGAGCACACCTCCCACCCCATGTCCTCACCACATTCTACAGAGGAACCATCAAGAACACCATGACCAGCTACATCTCAGTTTGGGAAGGAAGCTGCTTGGCTGCAGACTGGAAGGATTTGAGGAGGGTGCTGAGAATGGCAGAGATCATTAGGAAACCCCTCCCATACATCCAGGACATTGGTCTCAGACACTGTCTAATCAGAGCCAATAAAATCAAGAGACAACTCACACCCACAGCACAATAGCAAACACAAACAGCCACAGACATGTTGAGCAGGCAGAGGTCAAGAACCATAAAGCAGAAATCCAAATCCAAAACGTGATCCAAGAATCGTAGTTGCGATAATAACAAGCAAGGTCGGTACCGTGGGCAGAGAGCAGAATCCAAAACCAGAAAGAGGCAGACGAGGTGAGGAATCCAGGAGACAGGCGTGGGGTCAAAACAAGGCAGGCAGTCGAGGCTATGGCATGAACGCTGGACATCTACTTTCAAAGTGAGTTTGATAATCTGGCAACTAGTGAGAGAAGCTTGAGGCTTAAATAGAGATCAGAACAGGTGCATGAGATGAAGGCTGATTACTGTGGAGGAGCAAAGGGGACATGGCGTAGAGTGACAGGAGCAGAGCTTGAACATGAGCAGAGGGGTAAAAACAAAACATGCCAGAATATTTTTTTTGGGGGGGGGGGGGGGCAATTCTTTCTCTATTTTTGGCCATTTATTTTAGATAGCGGCTTTTCCCACATTTCGGCAATTTATTTCAGGTGGTGCAGCTTTTCTAGCATTTACCTCCCTGCTTCTCACAGCACAAAGAAACTACCAGTGCAGGGTAAAGATTTGAGCCTTGAAAACTACATCTAGTAACTCCTTAGAAATTAACTCATTCGTGCTAAATCACTATTTAATGCACCAAGCATTGGTATTGGTGATATTTTTAAATTAGAGATTTAGCTTTATAAAAT